CCAGTGGGAACACTACCAGTGAAGGACACTTTAGCCACCATGGGATGGTGACACAGCAGGCTTCCCGTTTCAGCTCCTCCTTGTACCACATTAAAAAGTCCATCTGGGACACCAGCCTCTTTGTAGATCTCTGCCAACATGACAGCAGTCACCGGGGTCATGGGAGACGGTTTAAACACCATGGCATTACCTAAGAGAGGGAGATCATCATAACAGTTATGGGGGAACATGGAAATGACAGGAAAACACTTTAAAAAAAGAGATTGCATGTATAAAAATTTGTGATGCCATAAATTGGAAGCCATAATTGTATTGACAGATAAATGCTAGTTATTGTTTATATAGACACTTTTTTGGTTGATATATGGGTTTGTTTTGTTATCAGGCTCAGAAAAATGACCAAGATTACTCCCAGATATATCTCAGATTACATGTATAAGGAGTTAACGGTTTTGGTCAAAATGTCCACATCTGTGCAAACTTCACAAATTACAAACACATAAAGCAATCCTCCAATACCGCAGGCCAATGCTGGAGCTGATTTCCAGGCAGCGATCTGGAATGGGTAGTTCCAAGCACCGATGCCAACACACACTCCCAAAGGCTCTCTTCTGGTGTAGGCAAAAGATCCTCCTGGAAGCTGTATATGCTGACCTGAGTATAAAAAGACAGTTCTTAGACATGATATAATAAGTTTGCCTAATGGAACAGTTTTGGAGAATACTACACATCTTGTCAAGTGGACCTACCTGACAGTGTGGGGGCAATGCCTGCATAGTATTCGATGCACTGCCAAGCAACATCAATATCCACCTCAGCCTCAGTGATGGATTTGCCATTGTTGGCCACTTCTGCTTTTGCAATTGCATTTCTCCGCTCCTGTTTGTGAGAGGTGTTTTGTTAAAAGGATTGCTCACCCGAAAAATTATAAAATCCCCTTATTTACTCTTCCTCATGTGGTTTTAAACCTTTGAGTTTCTTCTTTTGAACACAGAATAACATATTTAGAAGAATGCTGGAACCTATCAACTTCTAAAGTATGGAAAAAAAGCTACTATGGACATTTATGGGTGCTAGCTACCAGCATGTTCATCTGTTAAATACACACATAATTAGTGTTCTACAGAAGAAATCTCAAATGGGTTTTAAACAAGTGAAGGGCGAGGAAAAGGGAGAGATAAACAGAATTACACTTTTTCTCCCTGTACTCTCTTAACACAAATACATGAAATCCAACTGATATAGAAAGCAATGCCATTTTTTACAGCAGCCGTGGCTATTCAACTGTTTATTTCAATCAGGTTTTAGAAGTAGTGTTGGTTTAATATTTACAAGCAGTGAACGATCCAAACCAAGTTAAACCAAGTTGGTTTAAAGCAGTGGTTCTCAAAGTGGGGGTCGGGGCCACCCAGGGGGGGTCGCGGGACAATGAGAGGGGGTCGTTTGGTGATTTCTAAGAATTTAATAAATTTGAATAAACTTTTAAAATTAACATTGTTTATTCATAACTTACAGAAGATAAAAATAGTTACATAAAAATACAATATTCAAACAAAAAGCCATCAGTCTTTCGTTTTTTGTTTTTTTTTTACTTTGGATTGCAACCCCTAGGGTTTTTACAGTAGATTAACGACAGTTGCACCAGATTGATTTTACGGCACTAGCTAAACTTTGACACCTTTACAGCACTCATGTACATTGGTAAAAAAAAACCAAATACAGGCCACGACTGAAGATGGAGGAAAATCTTTAAGTGGCAGTCTCCAAAATTAAACCAAGAAAAGATTTGTGCCCGTCAGTCTCATTATTTGAGGTTAATATTACATAATAATTTTTAAAAAATGATATGCTTGTTAGACCCGGGGCTGAAAAGTTTGAGAACCCCTGGTTTAAAGCAATATATTAACTAAATCAAATGTACAGTGCAATGTAGCTCCCCCCTCACCTTCAGGCCATCTTAAATGTGACTTTTTCCTTCATTAGAGAAATATTTTTAATTGAAACAGTGGTCTTAGGTGATTAATAAATGGCAAATGAAAAGCTAAAGCACTTTTTAGTGTCCAAATAAATAAAAGTAATATTATTAAACACAATTAATAACACCTATGGCTCCTGGTGATACATTGGGGACATTGAGAAGCTAAATCATTAGTCAGTGCCTTGCACTGTATTGGCTATGCTGTTCACGGGATCATGTTTTGCAGCAGTATTATATGCTTTTACCCTGATAATTCTGGCAGCCTCCAGCATGATTCGGGACCTCTCCATTCCTGATAATTGACTCCATTTTAGGTATGCAGAATGAGCACTTTTAATAGCCTGATCTACCTCCTCTTCTCCGCAAGGAATCATATCACACAGCACACGACCTGAGAGAACAGAGGGTGATATGTACATTGAACATGTTACAGAGAGGCAGGGATTACCAGAGCAGAGATGTTGAGGTTTTTTTATGTTCAAACTTGACACAATAGTTTCAAAGTACTGCTTTTCTGTATTTGACTATTGCGGTGTGAGGCAACAAACCTCAGGGTAATCATAGTAAATCAATAACTCAATGCATAGGCTGTAAAACTAGGACACTGAATTATCATGACTAAAGGAGAGGAAACCAGTGTCCCACTCTGCATACTACTCACTATATGTTGAATTTAGTCATTGTTATTTCGCACTTTCAGTGATCTGTTTGTTTTCTGTGAAAGTATTGTTCGTTTTTTTAATGAGTTACTTAAAATACATGCATTTTATTGAATGCTGAAATTACAAGTGGTTATTCAGAAAAATGATAAGCATCTGATAGGACAGGGGTGTCAAACTCAGTTCCTGAAGGGCCGCAGCTCTGCACAGATTAGTCCCAATCATAATTAAACACAGCTGATCAAACAAATGGAGTCCTTCAGGCTTGTTTGTAATCTACAGTTTTATGTATTGGAGCAGGGCTGGAGCTAAACTGTTCAGTGCTGCTGCCCTCCAGGAACTGAGTTTGATGCCCCCGTTACAGGACAGGACATGTGATAGAAAAAAGACAATATTGTACATGCTTTGCAACATAGGTTATGTACAAAACAAAGCAAAATCTTGCCACACACTTGAGTACTCTCATCTGCTAAAAACAGCAAGCAGCAGAAGTAACTTTGCGCTTTATACTGACCCCTACTGGTGTGGGTGTTTGTTTATGGCTTCATTTGTACAAGTTCATTGTTATTAATTTTGGTTTGCTCATACCTTGCCACGTTCATGCTTTGTTTACGAATTTCATAAAACAATCATTTGTATTACTGTTGTGTTATTATCAAGCTGTAGATATACCGTCGAAACGGAAATACCCACGAGAGGCTAGCTAGCCAAAGAAGTAAACAATCCTACCAGTTGCTGGCTCGTATACTGGCTCGGAGTTCTTTGTGTCCCTCGGCTTCACTCTCGCTCCTCCCCAGAAATTCAGCGGCTCCTTCACCACCAAAGTGCCCGTGGAGACGCTCTGGAACTCGGGCAGCGACAGAAGCGGTTGCTGAGCCATGGTGTTTTTGACGGGAACCTATTCAATACAAAGTCAATATCAATACTTGTTAGCCAAACATTTTTTGTATGAAAGAACTTAACGTTTACAAAACGCATGCAAGACTAATTCCACTATTACTCGACGATGTGAAATTGTGCAAATTTTAAGTTTTATGCATACACAGATTTCGAACAGAGCCTGCTTCTGTTCTGCAGCTCGGTGGGTGCAGCTATGAGGAAACGCCCCATTACGGGTCAATGAAAGTACACTTCATAAATAATGCGAATGCAACGTTAAATCCATGCATTTCATGCATCAAACACATAATTCTAAAAGTAGTGCATGCATCAAAATTATGCATGCATTCAAATGCAAAGTTTCTTACCTTTTCAAAGCAATCTGTTTATACTGCACAAAAGGTCGTTTCCCTTCTGGTAGATGAGCGAAAGGAGGACGTCTGCTCAATTTTCTCCCACTTTTAAAGCGTACGGTTGCTCAAGCTGATCCCGTGGTATATGATTACATAAAGGGTGGGTGGGATGATATGAATGTTACCTTAAGCACCGCCTCTGGACCACTTTTTAATGTGGTTTCTTTTTATAAAGTCTTCGGTTTCAACACATTTTATCCCAAGTTCCAGAAAGCATGAATTGCGCAAAACATCCAGATATGCATCTCTCATTTGATGTGCATGATTCTCCTTCACCACTGTTACATAAGCATGAAATGTTAAAAACACAATACATAACGTTATATAAGTAAGTGTCAAGGCTAACTCAAACAATGGGGAATTATATCTTGAAAAAAACTTATAAACTTTTAATACATTGCTTGTTTTGTTCCAGTAGCAAACAACTTCTTGCGTGACTCTGCCTCACTCACGAGTTCTCAACTTGTCATCACATTAACAGATGCATTTCTGCATATGCCCAGTGAAATATTATAGACTATTTCAATGTGGTAATAGTCATTGGTCCATGAACATTTCCTGCTTGTTATCAAGTTATTTCATTACTGTAACAAGAGGCAATTCAATTAAAACTTACGGTTAAAATAGCTATCATAGCATTATTATCAATATGTGTCTCTTTTTAGATTCTCGGATGCTATAGAAATTAAAAATGTAAAACAGGAAATATGTTGGAATCATTGCTTTTGTTTACATCCCTCAAAATGGTCTACAAGTCTATTCTATAACCTTGTGTAAAAAGTAGGTTCTCTGCACACGTAACTTGACAACAAGCCACAATAATAGACAACTTCATTGCTACATTATCCATCTTTGACCATATTACAAAAAGAGACTTTATCCTAAGGGGGGAAATTGCAGCATAATTGCAAAAGGTTAAAACTTTACTCTGAATTCCAAAACAATGACTTGGGCCTACGCCTTATTCTGTATACTAATTTATAATCAGATAACAACATTTTTTGTTAACGCATTCAGACAATCTGAACAATAAATTGTAAAAGAAATTAAATAAACACAAAGAAACAAATATGAGGTCAAAACGGATGAAAACCCTTTATTTAACTTAAATAAAACTTACATATACAATCAAAAACAAAAATCTAATAATCCATGGGTCAAATAATTCTCAAGTATGAATGTTATATTAATATTGCTTGTAGTCAATCATAAAATAATAATATTAGAACAGAATATTTTAGCCTTCAGAGCAACAAAAAGATTTTACAGAATAATGTTTAAGACTCAAATTCATAACTACTTCTAAAACTTTCTCTTTTAGAAATTAAACAACAGACAAGTTAGAACTTTGCCTATTTAAAAAAACAAACAAACAACAACAAATATGCACACAAACAAGACGATGTAAATGACATCTGTGCTCATCACAGGTAACGGAAGCTGCACACGCTGACTCTCACATTCATATCTGATCACACAGTGTACAGCTGAGTGTCTCGTCCTTTCGTTTAATCACCTCACTGTCTGTGAATGTTTATGAAAATTTAGCTGCTTGTGGAGGAGGTCCTAAAAACCCTCCAGCCTGTTTGGTGGCAGCACGGGACGGAGCGAGACCCAACATTTTCTGGATATTCTGCAGAAACACAGGTATAGAAAGTGACAACCGTTAGGTATGCAATATGCAAAACAACCAAATGAATATTGTTAATGTTAAAACCCTTCCCTCAAAACCAATATCACAATACTACAATTAGAAATTTGCTCAATTTTTAAGTTGAATCAAGTAGAATTTAAACTTACATCAATTAAACTGGCTTAAAGCATCATGTTAAACCTTGCATAGCTTAAGAACTAGGGTTGAAACTAGATTAAGCTATTAAAATAAGTTACATAAAACTTAAAAAATAATGTTGTCGTGACTTTCTGATCATATTTTTAGTTTAGAAATAATATATGAAGATTACCTGTCGGATTGACATGGTGCACAGGATGTAGAGAAAGATGAAGGAGCAGTCGGTGTAATCTTCACCAAGAAGGTTGCGGTGGGATAGACCTTGGATATATGACAGTGGGACGAATGGAAGTTTGGCCACAACACGTCCGTCAAAGCTTAAAAAATGTATATATACACAAAAAGCAAAATAAGATCATATGATTTTAAATGTATAATTAAAGTAGCTGTCCAGTTCAGGTAACTTTTGCAAATCATTAATGTTTGCTTGAACCTGGGGAATTGTTTTGAAGGAGCAAGTGTAAAATGATTTTATTTATCAGAAAGACAAGCAACCTAATTAAAAAGACAATATTAAAAATGCAACAGAATTGATATTTTAGTTACATTCATTGCAAACAGCGAATTATAATGGATAATGCGTAGACTAACAAGACTGCATCAGATGGGACAATTGAGAAACTCACAAAAGAAACTTTTTGCATTCAAATTGTAAAATGTTTGTAAAATGTTTGCAATTCTAAAATAAGATAAGTGGCATAGTTAAAAGCTGACTTTTAAAGAAGGTAGTCAATGATTCTGAGGCAGGCACATTCTTCATCCTTGAATCACACATGAAGACACTTGCTGCCACCTAAAGGCTGTTTAGTTTTATGTGTCACCATCATTGCATTTTGCTAATATTACACTCCAAAATTAAAACTGCCTAAATAATGCAAAGGCAGTTATGTCACATATGAGCATAATATAAATGTCACTTCAGATGAAGCTACTTTTTTTCTCCTCTGCAGTCCATTTTGCTAATGCCTGTTTAATTTGATTTGTAGGACGATATAGTGTCTTGTTAAATGTATCTATAAAATTTGACATGACGAATGATGCTTGCATTAAATAAGTAAAAAAAAATTATACCAGCAAAAAAACACCCTGCAAATCAATTCAACAATATCAATAAAATGCTAATTTAATCAAGTAATAAAAGTTTAATTTTTTATATTCACGACACAAAAACATTCCAGACAATTGACTTTTTTTACTTGGATAGCTAAATGACTGAGGACAAGGACATGTCAAGGCTTAATGTCAAGCCCCACTGTTAGCTTGATATATTATTAAACATTAATAATAAAAACTGACTCTAAGATGATGCAATGAACAGGTGTACCTACATGGAATTAAACATGCCCATCAAAGCAGTGAAGCAAAAGCCAATGGCAAACATTGACTTCATCCGGACCTGCAATTAAAACATCATTAATACCACAAACTTGACAATCACTTTACCACACTAGCTATGAGAATTAACAATAAATAAAAAAGACAACATTGGGAATATAATGACAATTCTCACAATAATATGAAACATTTAAAATTATTACTTGTTATTACATAAAGAATGAGCCTTAAAGAAGCTAAACACAAAAATTGATGATTGAATTGAATGATGATTTATGATTCTGCTTAGCTCTTAGACAAAAAATACAGAATAATATAAAGACTGTGTTTGTGAACTGAATCATTTTTAAGTTTTAAGTCTGCGTGAGGCAACGCAGTGGCACAGTAGGTAATGCAGCAAGGTCGCTGGTTTGAGCCTCAGCTGGGTCAGTTGGCATTTCTGTGTGGAGTTTGCATGTTCTATAGGTGAATTGGGTAAGCTGAATTATCCATAGTGTATGAGTGTAAACGAGTATGTGTGGATGTTTGCCAGTGATGGGTTGCAGCTGGAAGGGCATCCGCTGCGTAAAACATATGCTGGAAAATTGGTGGTTCATTAAGCTGTGGCGACCCCAGATTAATAAAAGGACTAAGCTGAAAAGAAAATGAATGAATGAAAGTCTGCATGAAGCAGAAATTGCTGAGACTTATTTCAGTACGCTGATGTACTTCCAACTAAACTGGTATAATGAATAAGGGGACAGCTGAGGCAGGACAGGGCTTTTTCACATCATTCCCTCATCTGTGTGTTCTATTCCTTTGTGAATCATTTTCACAGGTCTGTGGTCAGCTCAGAACAGCCTGTCTGAGGTTTGTAAGCTTGAGATATTTAGATATCATTGAGAATTGTACGTGGGACATTTGGAAATTTTCTTAGTCTATCTGTGTTTCTAGCCAATTAGGTTAAACCACTATATGTATGACGCAGTTAATGACATTGTGAGAGAACAATTGTTGTTGTTTTGAGATTATAAGCAGAGCAGCCTTTGAACTCATTGTGAGTGTTGAAGCTGGCTTCTGCTGATGAAACTGTAAACTAGAAAACTAGCAAACTCTCCAGTAAACTTTATTTTTTAATTGAATCCCTGACTTCGGCTTTTCTTCATCTGACAGATTGGTCATTTTTGAGTTAAAACAGTTGTTCCTACAATACCTCTTATATTAGTATGTTAGGTATTTGCAATGTGTGCTATCAAAATAAACAATATATATATTTATATTTATTTTATTTTTTGACTTTTTGCCTTTATTAAGTGTATAGAATAGTATTTCAGACAGGAAGTGAAGTGGGAGAGAGAAAGGGGGTAGGGACGGGAAATGTCCCCAAGATGGGATTCGAACTCAGGATTCCCCAAAAGTGCTACTGCACCATATGTCAGCGTGCTAACCACTAGGCTATTAGTTTTCTAACATATTCATCATAAAATTACCAAATATGCCTTTCCGCAATCTCTTATGCCAAACTAAATCTGTATAAAACTGCTTTGTTTGAATTATACTGCTGCATCTTTTTACTGTATTATACTGAGACATGTTACAACCCTAAACAAGAAAACAATGGATTATATGACGTAAACCTGGGATTTGCATAGAAAAAGGTTATAATACCATGGACAGGTCTCTGTTATTGTTCTTCAGCTTTTCTTCTTGTCTCTCTGTTGAAAACATTACAGTTAGCCCACGTACATTTCACTGAAAACCAGTCATCTATAATAAATACTATTAACAACATTTCCAATCTGTTTATATTAAATTGAGGTAAAGTTGGCTTTATATTCACACATTCAGACTTTCTCCTTCATAATACAATTTAACAAAAATATTCTTTGCAAATTCTAATCAGTGAATTCATATTAGCATTAGGCATGGGATGATAACAAGGTATTCAAGGTTTTCAAGGTATACCACGGTTTGGAAAAGTCAAGGTTTTAAAACTGCCAAAATGTTTTGCTATACCATTCCTACGATATATGTAAAATTTTAAAGATTTTTCTAATGTTTACTGTAAACAGTATTTCCAGCAGAAAATATATCCAAAGACGCAGTTTTAAATTGTAAAGAAATCAGAAGTTAATGATGCAATTAAATTATTTAGCCTAACATGTTTACGATTCAAAACATTATAAACGTTTCTCAAAATAAAATATATTGTGCTCAAACGGGAAAAAAGTTTTTATTTTTTACCCAGACATTAAAAAATGTATATATATATATTTTAGAGCAGTAATCAAAATACAGTGAAACCATGATATTTTATTCCAGGGTTATCATACTGTCAGAATCAAATGCCGGCTTATGCCTAATTAGCAACCAATAACCATCAAACAACAGCACAACAGTTCACAGTCAAACAAATAGTGCACTAATGTTGGTTTCAAGTCATAATTGCATTTGACATATTCACAAGTTGTCCCTGAACGAATGTGTGAATATAAAACCAACTTTACCTCAATTTATAATCGGGCTGGGTGATTATATAAAAGAGTTGACATTTTGACTCGACATTCAGAACCAATAATCGATCAAGTTTTTCCAGGTCAATTTTTTAAATAACTTACCTTACCGTGTGTAGAGTCACATGACCCTGCTCCGTTTGTAACTATTGTGTTAGTTTGCAGTTGCACTACATTGATGATTGAAGCAGCTGCGCCAGAGATGCCTTGAGACGGCATACTTTCCATTACATTCAAATAAAATTTGTAATTAAAACATTTGCTTACAGAAGAAGCAAGAAATGCAAGAGTTTTTTTTTTTTATTTAGAAGAGATACTGCTTATTTTTACTTTTAATATAAAAAACATTGAAAATAATTAATTTTGTTCTCCAAAAAAAGTTATTTATTTTTACTTTTTATTAAAAAAAAGAGTGACTGTTAGTTTCAGTCACTCTTGTTCAGTCACACATGTTTTAATGTGTTTTAGTTTCAGTTGTTCAATATTGATGTTCGATAACGGTGAGGCAAACATTAAAATAAATGAATGAAATAATCATTCATTAATTGTAATCGAGTTAAAATATTCAATTAATGAGATTTTGATTTTAGTCCAAATCGCCCAGCCCTATTTATACACTTTTCAGTTTGACAAATCTTACTTACCTATCTTTTTCTTCTGTTGACGCCCAGCTGATTCTGTAATGGTTTCCTTCTTTTTCTCCACTAAAACATTTTGCATAATTTTAAGCAAAGGTCACTTGTAATAATGCAAAGGACACGGGTTTAGTTCATACAACTTACGTTTTTTACTCTGCTTTTCAACCTCAGCCTTTAGCCTCTTGTATTTATCTGTGCGGTACACCAGAACCCATGTTATTCCTGTAAAACAGAGTGAAACAAACTGTAAAGCTGCTTTACTAGAGTATTTGTCCTGCATGTGCTGAGCTCAGGACATTTTCCAGGACGCTCGCTAACTGCTTTGACATGTAAAACTGAATATCACGACAGTGTTTACATACCTTCCGCTAATAGTGCTGTACAAATAGATATAAAAACGATCAGGATCGTATCTGCGAACATTGTGCTCATTTTGGAGATATGTTTGGGAGTCTGATAATAATACTGGATAACACTTTCAGACAGCTGAACCCTTTACTGTAGCAGCGTCAGCATTACTGTGGTGATGTCATCAATGAGCGCCCGGCTTCCTCGTGGGTGTTTCATGTGGTCTCATTTGAGTCCTGACTCTACATCTCCTACTAGCGGGAATAACTCGGCACTACCGGAGGGCATATTGATTTGACCCAGCAAAAAACGCTAAAAATGGTTTGACTACATTCTTTATTGTTTTAGGACGTGTTCTTTTTGTTGTTGTGGCTTTATTTTACAAGGTATAAGATGTTTTTCACTATAGATTTAAATTACATCAGTGTGTATTACACTAAAAACAATGAAATACTTTTCAAGTTAAAATATTAAGGTTAAATAATTTCGTATAAAGACATGCTTTGTGTTTTATACTGTCTCATATAATAATTTTCATATTGTTGTATAGCTAGTAGGCTATTTAGCCGGCAGGCTTTGTTAATTTACTTCATCTTTATTTCTATAGAGCTTTTAGAATGTAAATTGTGTCAAAGAAGATTAAAATAGAAGTCCAAGTAAATTTGAACTGTGTCAGTCCAGTTTTCAGAGTTGAAGTTTAGTTCAGTTCAGTGCGGTTTAAATTTTACTGCTGAAAGTTCAAACGTTGAAGAGCAAATCCATCAATGTGCAGCTCCACAAGTCCCAAACAAAGCAAGCCAGTGGCGACAGGGATGTGGAACTAAACTTCACCAATTGACAAAAGTGAAGAAAAAAAACCTTGAGAGAAACCAGGCTTAGTTGGGCACGATCATTTCTCGTCTGGCCAAACTTCTTGTGCAGAGCTGCAGTCTAGGCGCCTGAGGCTGGAGAACACTGGATGTCCTTCATGGAGAAGTCCTTCATGACTGTGACTCTACACAAATACACACCTGATACACTCCATACGTATGCACACATGATACACTCTATACATATGCACATATGATACACTCCATACATATGTATCAGAATGTTTATATGTACAGTGACTCCATACATATGCACACATGATACACTCCATACATATACCAAAGATAATCTCCATAAATAAGCACACAATACACTCTATACATATGCACAGATTTTACATTTCATACAAATGTGTCGGAATGTGTGTATATGACTCCATACATATGCACACATGATACATTCTATACATATACATGCCATACAAATGCACACCACACTTAATTCACTCCATACATATGCACACATGATACACTCCATACATATACCAAAGATAATCTCCATAAATAAGCACACAATACACCCTATACATATGCACAGATTTTACATTCCATACATATGTGTCGGAATGTGTGTATATGACTCCATACATATGCACACATGATACATTCTATACATATACATGCCATACAAATGCACACCACACTTAATTCACTCCATACATATGCACACATGATACACTCCATACATATACAGATGATAAACTACATACATAAGCACACAATATAATCTATACATATGCACAGATTTTACATTCCATACATATGTATCGAAATGTGTGTATATGTACAGAGTGACTCCATACATATGCAAACATGATACATTCTACACATATACATGCCATACAAATGCACACCACACTTAATTCACATGCACACATGATACACACTCCATACATATGCACACAATACATTCTTTACATGTACACATTGTACAGTCAATACATATGCACACATGATACATTATATTGATGATACACTATGCATATACACACTTCATACATATGCACACGATACATTCTTCACATATACACATTGCACAAATGCACACGATAGACTTCATACACATGCACACATGATAGACTCCATACATATGCACACATGATACACTCCATACATATGCACACATGATACATTCTATTGATGATACACTATGCAAATACACACAATACACTCTATTTATATACACACTCCATACATATGCACACATGATACATTCTATACATATACACACGGTACACTCCATGCATATACACACATCATACAACGAAGGACATGACATACTCTATACATATGCACACATTACACACTACATACAACAATACAAATACACACATGATACACTCTACAAGCACACATGATACACTCCATACATATGCACACGATACACCATATATTTGCACACATGATACACTCTATACATATACACAAACACACGATACACTCCATACATATGCACATATGATACACTCTATACAAATACACACAATACACTCCATACATATGCACACATGATACAGTCTATACAAACACACACATGATACACTCCATACATATGCACACATGATACACTCTATACATAAACACAAACACACGATACACTCCATACATATGCAAACATGATACAATCTATACAAATACACACATGATACACTCTATACTTAAACACACACACGATACACTCTATACAAACACACACATGATACACTGCATACATATGCACACATGATACACTCTATACATATACACACACATAATACATTGTATACATATACACACACATTATACACTCCATACATATGCACACATGATACACTCTATATATGATACATTCTATACATACACACACGTTTGCGCAGCGGATGCCATTCCAGCTGCAACCCATCTCTGGGAAACATCCATACACACTTATTCATACTCATACACTACGGCAATTTTAGCATGCCCAATTCACATGTACTGCATGTCTTTGGACTATGGGGGAAACCGGAGTATGAATTGGTTGGTTGTTAGTATGGCCAATGTAAAGTCAACGCCATTTTTTTCAAAATGGAAGTATTTGGGACAGTTGCTAAGGTGCTGTGAGTGGTTAGCAACCACTCACAGCACCTTAGCAACTGTCCCAAATACTTTTGTGAGGCTAGTACGTTAAAATATTATCATGAGCAGAACCATAACCTTGTATGGCAATCTGGCGGAAAGTTATGAGGTCATGAAGTTTGGTCCAATGTTAATTGAAGGGGACTTTCCAAATTTTAGGGTCAGTTTTCAGAAGACCTCTAAGTCGGATCAGTTGGAAAAGATATAGTAACCTGAGTCTGACCAGTTTGGAGGTTTGGTGATAGTTTGGTGGTTGTAGAATGAATGGTCTAGGAGGAGATGCAAAAAGAAATAGTCTCAGAAGAAGATTAAACAATAATACGTTTATGTAGTTTAACAGTATGTTGGCTTTCTCAAGCCACCATTAGACACTGTTCCTTTTTCTCGCTGCCATTTTCCAAGTGCCGTAAACTCGAAACTTGATCAAATACCAAAGATATTAATGAACAAAGTTTTGTTTTTTTTTTGGTGCAAAAAAGTTTATGATTATAGTTGAACCATTATGTCACATGGAATGTTTTCGGTTCCTTTTCTGGGTATTGAGCATCTCAGGACCATTGCTGTATAGATATAGCTCCCACTGTAAGGATGAGAGAGCTCTCATGTTTCATCTAAAATATCTTAATCATTCATTAATTTTCCTTCAGTTTAGTCCCTTTATTCATCAGGGGTCACCTCAGCAGAATGAACCGCCAACTTATCCAACACATGTTTTATACAGCGGATGCCCTTTCAGCTGCAACCCAATATTGAGAAACACCCATACACATACTATGACCAATTTAGTTTATTCAATTGTACTGCATGTCTTTGGAAACCAGAGCAACCAGAGAAAACCCATGCGAACACAGTGAGAACATGCAAATGCCCCACAGAAATGCCAACTGACCTTGCCAAGGGTCGAACCAGCGACCTTCTTGCTGAGGCGACGGTGCTAACCACTGAGCCACAGCATCGCCCATATCTTAATCTGTGTTCTGAAAAAGAATGACAGAATTGTAATATGTGGGTGAACTAACCTTTAACATTTGAAAAATTATGATTATACATAAAAAGAAAAAAAAATTGATCTATTAATTTTTAAATTAACTTTGGCGAAAATAAAATGTCAAAATATGGGTGAAAAATACTTCCATGTATGATAGTCATTATTAGAAATAAAATAAACAGGACACACACACAAAAATAGGTGTATCTATCTGGCAATCTTCCATAGTTCATTGAAGTGTTTTGCTAGTTCCTACTAACAAATGTAAGACAACACTAAAGGCTCCAAAGGAAAAGGTTAGAGACAATTGAAAGGAAGGGGGAGGAGGATCCTTTGCTCGCCGTGTAAAAGCAGCTCGAGCCTCAGTCGCGCACTGGCAGCATGGCAGGAGACAGCGACAGCAAGCTGGACAATCACGCCGAAAACGAGCATGTGGACTGGCAACCTTTCCTCATCGGGGTAGCCGGCGGCACTGCCAGCGGCAAGGTTGGCATTCTGCTAACGTTATTATCAGTTATATGGCTTGTTTTGTGTTTGTCCGACAGAGGATGAGTTCATGCTGGCCGCGTGGCTTATTGTGACGGATTCATCAGTCAGTGTGTTCATATATTTATTTTATTCCTCGAGATTTGTTGACTTGTGTCCGATGTAAAAAAAAAAAAAAAAAAAACAGACCTTTTAGTATTTACTGAGTGGTCGAATTGACTTGCCTTATTCATTTATAAAATGAAGTTAACGCGTTTAAGATGAAAGATAACATAAGTTACATTATTTAACAAGATTATTCAAACATAGTGTAGACATGTAATGAGAATATGTTTAGTACTTAATGATTTTAGTATCCTTTTTAAAACAAAGATGTTAGTCATTTCCCTGACACAGACAGCTCCCACACACATCATCGCCGCCGCCATACATGTACCATGGCGATGGTGTAGGCTACTTACCAACTTATTAAAGCCATAAATCAATTTTATTGTTCTAACACCAAGTTCTCAAAATCCAGTTGAACTCATTCGCGAGTATAATGATGATTCTTGTGGATCTGGATTGTGTAGAAGCAAAGTAACGTTACGGCTGTCTTTTGTTGTTGGAAAACAGCGTGATACTTGCGCCGGCTAAATCACCTCAATCCTGCTGACAGCCAATGCATTTACCAAACCCTGTCAGCTGTCAAAACCGAGTAACATTTTTAATTTAAGCTATATTTATTCATTGTG